AAAAACATAAAAAATGTGTTATATACTTATATATTTTATTAGTAGTTACCTTCCCTTTTTCTATAATCCGAGTCCGACCAACAACTTGTTTTTCGTAACTTAATTGTTTTTCTTTTATTTTTCTAGAAAGTTTTCATTTAACTCATACCAAATACGTGAGTTAAAAAACATGTTGTTTTTCTTATTCCATGGCTAATATATTTTTGCTATTTTTTTTTAACATCTACACTTCACACAAACTTTAGTTAAAATAAAGTTTTTTCTTAATAGAAGAGGAAATGTATATTAGGTGTGTGTGTGGCTGAAAAAAAAATTTTTGAGCTGCATTTAGTTGTGGAAAATATGGATTCTGAATTTCATATTAAGAGGCAAACAAAAATATGTTAGGAAAATTGTCAGATATTTGTAAGGCGATTAAATATACCACCTATTTTGTGAAATGCTTAATAAAACTGAATTTGAAATCGGAACATATGTATATATAGGGGTATATGAAAATATTTCCATTAATATATCGACGCCTCCGAAGAACAGTATGCTAAGTCTGAAAAGTGGGTTTTTCAGCAGAAGCTCTCAAAGTATGGAAGTTTCATAAATCTTACGTGCCATGCTAAGTACAATTTTGCTTATAACTTTGGTTTGGATTGGCCGATGATTACCAAAATTTCAATGAATTTAAATTAAGGACCGTAGTATCTAAAAACGTAAAGAACATTAAAACATGCTGAGCATACTATGGTTCGGAGGAGTCGATATATTAATGTCCAGCTACTGACCTGTAAAAGGGTTTTAACGTTAAGTTTGTGTTATTTTAAAGAAGGTATAGCATATATTTTATTGACAGGAAAATATATTGGTATAAATATAATATTTTTTTTCTCTGATCACAGTTACATTTGAATTTAAACTCGAAATTTAATTAATTACTTTTCAAGGCAAACAAAGTCAAAATATTTCCGATATACATTTTTGTTCAAAAATATGTTTGCAAAAATAGGCTGTATTTGGAAATTATGCTGCCACTTATTCCGATATATTTGTGGCGTATACATATTGTCGTTACTTATACGCTAATATGTACTATATAAATAATAAGCCTCGTTCTATAATTGGGAAATACAGTAAAATAAGCAAGTTTTCAGATTCCCTAATGTCCATGTGTTACATTTTGAAGCGTATTTGCCTCTTTTAGTTTTCCCACTCTACCTCTCTATCTATTGCACTATTTTTTGTTTTCATTTTATTCTTAAACATTGTTGTAGCAATTGACCCCATTCTGACCTTTTTCATTTTGTTTTTTTTTTCTATCTCTCTCTTTACACTCATGTGAATAGAAGTGCTGCAAGTATTGCAACTATTCACTTTTTTTACAAACTTTTATCATTATTTTTATTATTAGTGTTAAAGTTAAACGTTTCACATCTCTCCAAGGTATCACATGTAAAGTTGTAATTTTTGAAATGGAAGGAGGAATATTTTGTTGATGGATAGAAAAAACATAACGTTTAACTGTGCTCGTTAGAAGTTGGCGGATTTTGATGGGGTTTCTCAACAAAAATAAAGAAACAATCTAAATATTATTATATATTATATCGAGGCTATATATTTTACTTAAAATTACGAGTGATTTTCTAGGTTAGGGTTATTATTTCATTAATTAATTGTTTAAAATAATAAAAAATCATAGCCTTTTTTCTATTAAGACTCAATAATAATATACTGAGGAAAAATGATTTCCCACAGAGAACTATTGACGAATTACTAAAAACATCCAATCACAAGAACGGAAAGAAGAAAGAAGAGGAAAAAGCATACACAACATTGACTTATATACCTGGACTGTCTGAGAGATTACGTAATTCCAATATATATGACAAGAACAATTATCAATTAGCCTTAAAATCGAAGAATACCGTCAATAGCCTGTTCAGCAAAATAAAATCAAAAATTAAAAAGGAAGACAAATGCAATGTAGTGTATAAGATAAAATGTAATGGGGACAAATCCAACGTATGCCAAAAGGTATATGTTGGTACAACAAAAACTAAACTCAAGACTAGACTTTCTGGACATAAGTCAGATCAAAATTCAGACAAACCTTTAGAGCAAAAAACGGCGCTTGCTGCACATTGCACAAAAACTGGACATACACCGAATTTTAAAGACGTGGACATATTGACACAAGAAAATAATTATAAACGACGATTCACATTAGAAATGTTAAACATAATTAATGTACCTAACGATAGAAGAATGAATTATAAGACTGACACGGACCACTGTGCACATATTTATAGAAACATAGTTCATAAGCCCAGACGAGAAAAAAGAAAAACTTAGTTTAGCATAGACGGTGATGAAAATCGGTTGCTTTTCTCATAAAAGTAAGATCTGTGCAATACAATTAAGTCTATATCTTTAAAATATTTGTATGTTTTGTAGTATTTCCCTGAAGATGACTGCCGAAGACAGTCGAAATATTGGAAAATAAAAATAAACAAAAAAGAAAAACATAAACAACGAGTTTTTCAATTGACATAGAGCCAAAACAAAAATCCACAAGACTCAATAATGTTTAATAACTATTCTGAAAACAGTCTATAATTATCAGACTTTGTTGTTGAGTGAACTCTATTCCAGCACTTTATTGACTTACTTAAATACCATCTATAAACATGTATTCATTCTAAAGTAATTGTATAGTCGAATAATCGACAAAATAAAACATTTAATATTTCACTGAAGTGAGTATACGTTTTGTCGTCACTTATACGCCTATATGTAGCAATCGAATACGGGGTAGAAGTACAAGTAATCATTCAGATTGAACCTTGACTCCAGTAGCATTAAAATTATATCCAAATAAATGTTGCGATTGGTAAGATATTCCCCCGACTTGATGAGGTGATAAATGCATTTCCGTACAGTATTGGCACAAAAGGTCTCAGCGTCCAGAAGATAATACAAAGAGTTCGTGACATGACCCTCATTGACATCGCAGATAAATTTCTTCGTGGAAAACTTCACATCAACCAACCAATCCGAAAAGGAATTGCGGAATATTTTCAAACGTTTCTGATCACTAACGTAAAGCAGAATATTCTTCATTAGATGTACACGCTTTTCAAACTCCTCATTGTCAATGGTATAGTTGTGGGTCCTCAGGCAATTGAACAGGAATAGCTTGTCGACATAGCCCGAAGAGGCCAGCAAGACATTCTGTGCTGGCCGTATTTTCATATATTGTTTTTTATTTGACGATTTCTGTCATATATACAAATACAGGCCATTCAGGGTACATGGTATCAGTTTGATCTCGCGGAAACTAAAGAAATTCTCCTTGATGTCATTCAAAATCTTTTCCAAATATAAAATACAACCATTAGATTTGATATACAGCTGATGTGATGATTCAATATTTTCATAGCCAACATAATAATATTATTAAATCGGCCATAATCAGCATCAAAGAGGTTTTGGTGATGTCAATTCCAGCAGCGGGAATAATATGGCCTTTTTGAAACGCTCATCCGGATTCTTTTCGATTTATATCCACTGTTGGGTCATTCAAATATTGAAAAGTAACATTTCATAGTAATCATCGGAAATAATGGCGCGTAAACTTTTGGTATCAGGCAAGAGTGGTGGTAAGGTATTAAAACTGCCTCCGCACTCAGGGTCGGGTTTGGAATCCACATACTAATCTTTGGATTTTGTTTCAAAATCAATTAAATCATTTTCTTTTTAACTTTCCTTGGCCTCCGCATTTATCCTTATCGGCGCCTGGTTTATCTTCGTTTGGTTTCTTTTCATTTTTAAGTCGTTCCTGGGTCTCATCTCCCTCATCACGTATGGCTGCTTGAACTTCCTGCTTTAAATCTTCATTTGCCACAGAGGCAATATCCTCTCCGCCACTCTCCTGGGGCGAGGCATGCTGATTATTCGGCAAACTTAAACTGCCATTAACATGTTTAACTGATGAGGCTATGTTACCAGGTCGGTATAATTGGTATTTTGGATTTCGCCCCGGACTGGTTTTACTCGAGGAGGGTAAATCCCCATCGGATTCTGCACATTTCTAATTTTTCAGTATCATGATCTTTGTTCTCATCATATTATCGTCCTTTTGGAGGATGAGTACCATAACTGTTTTAATTTTTTTACCTTTGACCTTTTTGGGAATGGGTACCATAACATTTTTATATTCTCCGGCAGATTGATCATCATCATCTCCTCCCTTTATGGTGTTCGCCTTTTCTGGAAATAGAATTGAAGAACAAAAGAAAAGCAAAATTGATAAAGAACAATTTATTTAGCTGAGGTACTGTGGGGCGGATACTTATTGTCATCACTTATACGTCTCTATGTTTCAGCTATTAAATGTTAAATAAAGCTTTCTTACAAATTAGTTTCTAGTTTGTTTGTTATAGCTCTTCTGGTCGGTTAACGGGAAATAGTTTTGCTTCTTCTTGAAGACAATTTTGTGTTTAAAAAATTCACGTCTATGGCCCTTTTGGTCATAGAAAAAAATAAAACTTCCTGTGAAAATTTAATCCACAGAGTGTCCATGGAAAATCCTTTTTTTAAATCTAGTTTATAACACTGCGAGGCCTTGAAAAATATTTTGAAAACTTATTTTTCCCCTTTTTAGAATAAAACTAAACTTATTTCAATATAATTAGCAAATAACTAATTATGTTCCCTCTTCTCTTATATTTTCAGATCAACTCGCTTCACATTACGAACTCAAATATAATGTGAAATCCGTTGGATATATATTATGTAACAAACGAAACGAACTAAAACAAAATCGTAGCAGTAATCTGCAAAAATATAAGAATTTACTTATAAGTACTACAACAAAAAAGACTATTCTGAAGAACTGAAGAGAGCTTCGAAGAGAAATACTCATTCTCTTTTTCTCTCTCACACACACACGTAAACCAAAGATTTATTTAAGACGTAAGAAGACGGAGTACCGCGCAACAACACCCATCAACATGTCAAAACATTCAGATAATGATCATTTACGTAATGATATCTATGAAAATCTACCCTGTCAGGCTATGTTCAATGAGTCGGTACGTAAGATACAACAGCAAAAATCGGCTCAGGCTGCTGCACATAATCCCAATAACATCAATTTGAATAAGGCATTGTCCCAACAATTGCTGCTGAATAATATCAGTAATCAGGGTTCACATTTGGTCAATGTCAATTTGGCTAATTCCAATTCAAATTCGGCGCCCAATAATAAACATCAAAATGCGGTGGCGGCAGCGGCGGGGCGACATGGCATCAGTGTGGGACAAATGCCCAAGGAAATGATCTATGCCACACCTCTGCGTAAATCGGATCGTTATAAAAGTGGTGAACGTAGCCGTTTGGCAGCGGCTGCCGCTTCCGCACGTCCCTTAAATGAAAATGAGCTGACGACGGGAACAACAGCAGCCGATGTAAAGTTAAGCAATATTATGGATTATAAACAATTCAATACGCCAAGGGATAGTAATCGTGTTCAGAATTCCGCAGCAGCTGCGGCGGCTGCAGCAGCTAGTAATCGTAATGGCAATACGGTGGTACCCATTACAGATCTCGACGATGAACCTGATTCGGGTTGTACATCCAGCAATATGTATGCAAATCGTGGAGTACCTTTGAACTGTGGCAATGGTGGCCCCGGAAATTCCACACCCAATCATCAGCTGGAAGACCGCAGAATCTTAAATTTCCTCAAAGATACTACTCAACTGCAAAAGAAAATGGAAATATCCGGCAAAGATTGTCCCAACTCGAGTTTCTCCAATTTGGCCCGTGAAGAACATTTCGCCAATTTGGTACAACAGAATTTCCCCCTCGAGGTGGCACGTAAAAGTTTTGATCCTGAAAATGAAATGGAAGCTGCCTTGGAGGGGGCCACCAATGGTTTGGGCCTTGAAGATACTTCCGATAATTTAGAAGTCTTCATGCAAAAGAAAATCTCACCCGACAAGGAGGTAAATGGTTTTGGCGCCCAACGTGAATACGGTCATCATCATTCGCAGCAGCAGCATCATCATCACCACCACCATCAACATCGTTATGGTTCTAAGGTCTATATAAATCGTGAATGGGTCTTAAAGAAAATAGCCATGTGTTTGGAACAGAGAACGGCTGGGAAGAAAGCCATACCGGGTCTCTTGGGACCCACGGCGGCAAATGGGGGTAAAAATGAAGCAGCCGGTGGATTTATGTCCTCCAGAGCCAAGGCGGCAGCCATATCTGCATCCACCTATAATGGTTGTTTGGTTTTGGGTTCAAATGGTTCGGGGAAAACCAGTATTTGTCAGGCCATAATGAATGGTAATTCCGGCACAAGAGGTCTACTGAATCGCAAGCTATTGGCCTCCTATCTCATTGAGTCACAAAATCCCGAATGCCACAGCCTCTCGTTGTTTATACGGAAAATTGTGCTACAAATCCTAAGTCATTCGTCGTTAATCGCCAAAGATGAAAGCCAGCGTATCATTGATGAAGGTTTCTCTTTTCTGCACGATGAGGTCCAGCAACAGGAATCGAAATTGGATGAGGCCATGAATAACATTTCCTTGGATGAAAATGCCGAAGATATTCTTATAGCCGAACTGAAGAGGGGTGCCAAAGAATGTGATATTGCTGAACTGGAAAATTTCCATGAACGTCGCACCTCCACCTCGAAGAAGGGGGAAAATTTACAATTGATGAGACAAAAATCGGAACCTGTACCACCACAACAAATGTCGGGTGGGGATGATGAGGATCATTTTACGGGAGAAGATAAAAAATGTTATGGTACCCATCCTCCAAAGGGTCAAAAGAAAAAAGCGCATAAAGAATATGATGAGAATAAAGATAATGATACGGAAAAAATGAGAAAACGTGAAGAATCCGATAGGGATTTACCCTCCTCGAGTAAAACCAGTCCGGGACGGAAATCCAAAATACCAGTTAAATTATCGCGGCCCGGTAACATTGCCTCACCAGTAAAACATATTAACAGTAGCTTGAGTTTGCCGAATAATCAGAATCAGCATGCCTCGCCTCAGCAGGGTGGCGGAGAGGATATCGCCTCTGTGGCCAATGAAGATTTGAAACAGGAAATTCAAGCAGCCATACGGGATGAGGGGGAGGACACTCAGGAACAACATAAAGAAGAAGTGGAGAAACAAAACAACGAAGATAAACCTGAGGCCGATAAGGATATGATGGAGGAGGAATTTAAAAACAACAAACAACAAAATACCGAAGCTAAGGAAAGTGAAAAAGAAAACGATTTAATTGATTTTGAAACTAAATCCAAGGACTCGCCGAAGGCAGATGAGTATGACGACTCAAAACCCGACCCAATGGCCGGTGGCTGTTTCAATACCCTACCACCACCCTTGCCTAAGACCAAAAGTTGCCGCACCATTATTGCCGATGGCTATTATGAAATGTTACTTTCCAATCCGGAGATATTTGAATGCCTAACTGTGGATAATATCGAAAAGAATCCCGATGAGTGTTTCAAAAAGGCCATATTGTTCCCTTTGCTGGAATTGACACCACCCAAAACAGCTTTGCTGCTGCTAATCGATTCCATTGATGAGAATTACATTAATGAGGGAAATTTGATATCCACCCTGAAGGGAGGACGTGGCGGAGGTACCACCCATAAAAGTCGCAATGTGGCCGAGTTGCTATCGAACCACATTCACCTCTTCCCCAAGTGGCTATTCTTGGTTTGTACAACCAAGAAGCAAACCAAACAAATTACCCGCATGTTTTCGGGTTTCAAGAAAATCACCCTAGATGATCTGCGAAAATCACATGTGGTCAAAGATGTCCAGGAGTACATTATAAATCGTTTGAATTCCGATTTTAAGGATAGCATTATGCTGACCAAGGAAATTATCGAATCGCTACATCAACTCTATATCAAATCGAATGGTTGTATTTTATATTTGGAAAAAGTTTTGAATGGCATCAAAGAGAATTTCTTTAGTTTCCGTGAGATCAAACTGATACCCTGTACCCTGAATGGCCTGTATTTGTATATATGCCAGAAATCGTTTAATAAAAAGCAATATATGAAAATACGGCCAGTACTGAATGTCCTGCTAGCCTCTTCGGGCTATGTCGACAAACTGTTCCTGTTCAATTGCCTGAGGACCCACAACTACACCATCGACAATGAGGAGTTTGAAAAACGTCTGCATCTAATGAAGAATATTCTGCTCTACGATAGTGATCAGAAGCGATTGAAAATATTCCACAATTCCTTTTCGGATTGGTTGGTTGATGTCAAGTTTGCCACCAAGAAATTTATTTGCGATGTCAATGAGGGTCATGTCATGATTTCTTTGTATTATCTTCTGGTCGCTGAGACCCTTTGTGCCAATACTGTACGGAAGTTCATTTATCACCTTATCAAATCGGGGGAGTATCTCACCAATCGCAACATAGATTTGGATATGATTTTAATGCTGCTGGAGTCAAGGGTAAATCTGAACGATTGCTTCTACACGAATCACCTGAATTGCTGCTCTATGTGTGAATTGGATTTTAAAAATGATCCCAACTTCTTACCCAAAACTCGCAACATGATTGAGAAATTCCTAAACAACGAATTGTGTGATGAATTTTCACAGCTGCTGTGTGATTTCTTTAAACCCAGTCTACCGACAGATGCCAAGATACTCAAGTTGCTGATTGAGACTGGGATCAATAATGCCGATAACCAAACATCTTGCGAATCGTCGCTAATGTCTCCCGAACTTTCCGAAAGATCACAAAATATTGATTTTGAATTGGCGGATTTGCTGATTTCCAGTGAGCGTTCATGTATTATGGAAACTCAAAGGCCGTCTAGTCCTTCGGAAAAAAGTGAGCCTCATCATGAGAGTCAGGAGGATAATGCCTCCTCCACACTGCATCAACTATCTGACTCCAATCGCATCGAATTGCACAAGGGCAAGGCTTTAATACACATTCTAGCCAATGATGGTAATCATTTGTTGCTCGAGAGGGCCCTGAATGCCTGTAAAGGACCCATTGATCTCGAAATAGAAGATTATAATGGACAAACTGCTCTGAATATTGCTGCACGAAATGGCCACTTGGATGTTGTCAAATTGTTGCTGAATTTCTCCCAACCCTGCAATGATGGTACCGGACGCATGAAACGTGTTGATGTCAATCATGCCGATCGTGATGGTTGGACGCCACTACGTTCAGCCTCCTGGGGTGGTCACACCGAGGTTGTCAAACTACTCATTGCCCATCCGGCGTGTAAAATTGACTTAGCCGATAAGGAGGGCCGTACCGCTTTACGTGCAGCTGCCTGGAGTGGCCACGAGGATATACTCAAAATCCTAATTGAACATGGTGCTGATGTTAATTCCGTTGATCGTCAGGGGCGCACATCTCTCATTGCGGCTTCGTATATGGGTCACTATGACATTGTTGAAATCCTGCTGGAAAATGGTGCCAATGTTAATCATTTGGATTTAGATGGTCGCAGTGCCCTCTGTGTTGCCGCATTGTGTGGCTCCTCAGGTTATAGCAAAGTTATATCCACACTTCTTGAGCATGGTGCCAATACCGATCAGCTGGACAATGATGGCATGTCCCCGCTCTTGGTTAGCTCCTTTGAAGGCAATGCCGAAGTGTGTGAACTCCTATTGGAAAATGGTGCTGATCCTGATTTGGCCGACTTTATGGGTCGTACTCCCCTATGGGCTGCCTGTACCGCCGGCCATGCCAATGTTGTAAAACTTCTACTATTCTGGGGTTGTGGCATCGACTGCATGGATTCCGAGGGTAGAACGGTGCTCAGCATAGCTGCTGCTCAGGGAAATATTGAAACAGTACGTCAACTGCTCGACCGTGGCCTCGACGAAACACATCGTGATAATGCCGGCTGGACACCGCTGCACTATGCCGCCTTTGAGGGTTTCCATGAAGTGTGCCTGCAACTACTCGAATCGGGCGCCAAAATTGATGAATGCGATAATGAGGGTAAAACCGCTCTACATTTAGCCGCTCAGGAAGGACGCACCCAGTGTGTACAGGTTCTACTCGAATGCCTGTCGACATTTGTCGACCAGAAGGCACACGATGGCAAGACAGCTTTTCGTTTGGCCTGCATTGAAGGTCATTTGGAAACGGTACAATATTTGCTGAAATATAATTGCGATGTTAATTCGAAAGATGCGGATTCGCGTACGACACTCTACATTCTGGCATTGGAAAATAAATTGGAAATGGTGAAGTATTTATTGGAATTCACCGATGTTGATGTGAACATTTCGGATAGTGAGGGTCGAACGGCTCTACATGTGGCTGCCTGGCAGGGTCATGCGGAAATGGTTAAAATGCTAATCACTTTGGGTAAGTAACA